TATTTCTAGAATATTATGAAAGTAGTGATATGGGCATTCGCATCTCATTCCCGACGTTGATAAGAATTTTCCCGGTATTCACATTCTACATTATTCTTTGAGTTTTTATTATTTTATTAATAGTTTATTGTTTTTTTTTAAATCAGGAATCAATAGCACTGATCGTGGAGTTTGCAGAAACCTCAGGTCTTCTTAGGTTTAAGTAAAGATTCAGAACATTTAGGCTCGCAAGATGGCACCTGCATACTCAGGATAAGGGACAGGGACCACGGTTTGCCTGCACAGTGGCATCAAGTGCTTCTCTTCAGTGGAACTCCTCACACAGCAGAACAGCCCAGGTGCCTGATGACAAACACTTTACACAGATGGGAAACTGCTCTGACTCAACAGCCTCGTGCCCCTCTGGAGCCAATATCTCATCGGCATAGTGTCCAAGGGCTCTATAAGGGACACACCCAGTTAGAAGAGTCACTGAACTCAGGTCCCTCCAATGCTATGGTTTGCTATTGGGTATAGTTTGTTCTCTCTGTCTAAACACAGTTGATCGATCAGGGATCCATTCTTACTAGCAACATAGCAACATAGCTCACCAACCACCTTATCAGGTTGCCAGGGGAACGGAGCTAGAAAGTTAACATAAGGTCAAATTCTCATGCAGAAGGGGAACGGATTTTGTTAACCCTTTACCCACATAGAGGTTTTCTGTCAACTTGATTATAATGCATTCTTCTATGTGTTAATAGATTATACTTCTAATCATTTATTTAGGGCTTTTTGCATTTATATTTGTATCAGAGATGAGCTGGGTATATGTATGTTTGGGCACATGTGAGAAAGCTATTTTTTTCCAGACTTAAATATCAATGACTTCTTAGGAATAATTACAAGCACTCCTCTTTAGATATTTAAAAGAGCTTAAGTATCGGAATTATTTACTCTCTGAAGGGATGATATGCTCTGTGGTACAACTAGAACTGCTGTGTGTGGGCTAGGAAGGCCCTAGACGTGCTATTTCATAAGATCATTACCTATGATCACGTGAAGGACACAACACTAGGGAATATCATTGTAAAAAATGAAAATGTTAGTGTATTTCACTGCTCCTTGTTGCTCTGACAAGGCACTTTTTAAAGAAAGAGATGAGCTCGGCCAAAAACTGGCTGCTTTGCAAGCAGGAATGGAAAGAAATGAGAATGTCCAGAAATTTGGGGCCTCCTAGGATTGAAAAAGACAACTGCTTTGATGCCCCAAACATTAATATCAATAAAGGGATCTAAGCCTTGTAGCAAGGATGAGAGCACGGGTGTTCCCTTCCAAACAGCCCTATTATTTCAGTTAGCTTCAAGGTGGCCTCCATTAAGATGAAAGGGTAAGGTATGGACACAAAGAAGCAAAGAAATAAAGCAGGCTTAAGGACGAGGAGTAGAAAAGGTTTTGGTTATGGTTGTTGGTACAAGGAACTGACTGGAAACAATTAGATCAGAAGCCCATCGGGGTTCTAAAGAAATCTGGTAGCCACGGAAACCATGAGTCTGGCCTGAAAATATCTGTCTCTGTTAGCCCCTTAAAGCAACACTCAGACCCTTGATTTTGTACCAGTAGAAAAAGAGCTATGAATGATGTACAGCCTCGAAAGAAGACACATGCTCCAACAGCCTCTTCTGGTGTGGCTCTGGAAGATGAATGGACAAGTTGGAGAAACAGAGGTGACCCGACTGTCTGACCAAGGCACTTCTTCTACAGCTGGAGCAGAGAATCTCCATAATTCTTGCTCAGCTGGGAGTCACAATTGCAGTGAACAAGCGGCTGTGTGCTCCTCATTCTTCTCCTTTCTTAATAGGAGTTCTTAAAGCAGGTATCCTGTCCTTATACCACCACTGTATGTGGGATGGGGGGAGAAACAGCGTGCTGACAGCCCCTATGAGAGCTCGAGAGAGAACACACATTTTCTCTCCCCTCTGCCTGGATGCCATCCCCACCACACACCCTCATCTCATTCAGTTTCTCTTTAAATGTCACCTCCCCGGAGGGGACCAAATCACTCTACCTAAAATCACACCCCATTTCTTATCACCTTATCCTTCCTTTACCCTCTCTTTGTACCTTTAACCTCTCTTCACAGCACTTACTCCCCCACAACCCCCCCACCCCACCCCCCGCCCAATTGCAGTGTGCTCTCAGGGCACAACCTTGTCTTTTTTCTGGCTGAAGTCCTAGTACCAAGAAATGGCCAATACATTGTACGCTCTCACTAAATATTTGTTGAAAAAAAAAAAAGAAGACAAAACAATTAAGAGCTTCTAATGTCCAAGCGTCTGAAGTTGTTTCTGTGTAGTCCTATTTTGTTATTTATCTGTATCACATTGTAATTAGTGACAATTATTTGTGAGTGAGAACACTGCTATTACCACTTGCAAGGTGGCATTATTGGGTGGGAAACCTAACCAAAAAGTTGTCCTATTGGAAAAGTACAGGTATTGTGAAAAGCAAACTGTTTTGATCTGGTTGGTTGTTTTCAAGACTGAGACAGTAATTGGCACTTCCATGGGAACTTCACCTTGTTTCGGGAACGGTGGTCATAACTGCAGCATACTAACCTTGGAATTCCTTTAGAGTCGCCTCATTCCATGATTCAACAAAGACTGATATAATCAGCTACTGCTTACTCAGGAGAGAAGCTAAAGTTCACCAGGAAGAATTCAATCCAATCCAATCCAACATTTAATATTTACTGAATTGAAGCCTTGTGCCAGGCCTTGTGCCCTGTCTCATGGAACTCAGAGCGGTAGAGAGCAATGCATTAAACACACTGCATTAGGAGTTACAATATGGGATGCACAGTGTTGTAATTATACCACAAAAGTCTCAGCCGAGCAAAAAATCAGAAAAGGCTTCCTGGGTAAATGTCAGCTAAGCTTGGACCCAAAGGGCAAGTGGAGAGCATCCAAATGAAGAAGGAAGATGAATGGAGTGTTTTCTAAGCCAAAGAAAAAGATACAGAAAAAAATGTTGAAAGGCCTGCCGATAGGGCATTACACTTTTGTTTCAGATACCGTCATATTTTCACCTATCACCTGTCCTCCGTTCCTTCTACCTCCAGCTTTTAGCGTATAGGTTAGCCCCTTCTTGATAATCATCTGTTGCTCTGGTGGGGCTTATTTGCAAATCCAATCCAGGAATCAATAAACAAAGGAAATGGCTAAGGAGTAGCCACTGGAGCCTGGAACCAAGCCTACATTACACTTACAAAAATTTGATTTTCTGCAGAAAAAATATTTTGACTCCTACATTTTTGGACTTCATTAGGAAGATCTGAAATAGATGACACCAAGCTGTTTGCCTAAAATAATGTCCCAAGCCTGAATTGGCATGGATATTTCCTGAGATTAAAATAGAAACTTGTTTTGCTAACAGAAAACAACTTGGAAATCAAAGAGTTGTTTAAGTTGAAACCATTATTTTTTCCTTTTCTTGCATAAAATTCCTGTTTTTATACACACAAAGAAATCAGGATAGCGAGATCACCCTGCCACAAAACTTCCCATTAAAAATTTGAAGTTGGAGAAACCTCAAAAAGAAAATAAAGATAGAAAAAAGTTCGTAATGTAACACACTCATTCAACAAATATTTATGGGCACCTACTACATGCCAGGCACTGTTCTAGGCACTAACAAAGAAACTCCCTTGAAGAGTTTGCATTCTAGCGAAAGAAGACATACAAACAAGAAATAAATTACATAGGACGCTGGAAGACCAGTGGTACAGCGAAAAGACAAAGCTGACCAAATCATGGGGCATCTTGAGGGGGCCGGTTTGCAACTTTAAGTTTGGGTGGTCATGGTTCGATTCCTCAAAAAGGCGACATTTGAGCAAAGCCTGAAGGAAGCGAGAATGTGAACCACGCAGATATCTGGGTCCAGGCGTAAGTATCAGCCAGTCATTGGCGCAAAGGCAGTGGCGTGCATGCCTGGCTCCGGGAGTCTGTGAGAAAGGCAAGAAGGTCATGGGCTATGGGAAGAGAGAGAATAGGAGATTAGGTCTGAGGGGTCTGAGAGATGGCACATCTCTGCACCGGGGACTCATTGGGACAGGGTTTGAGAGGAGAGGTGACTCAGTGGATATATGTTTTCACGTGCATTTTAGGATGATTGTTGCGTGTTTTCATTTGAACAATCTTAGTACAATACTTTTTGCTCTGCAACAGAATGATTTTTAAAATGGTTTCTAAATGATCTCCCCAAGATCAGACACCACAGACTGCTAAGTAGTTAGAGCCCGCCCTCTCTGGCCTGCACGTGCCCTGGAGGGGCAGCCGTTGCTACCCTTCTAGAGTGCTCGAAGTTGAGCTAGCAGAGATAGAAACAGTCTGCACGTTTTTTCCACAAAACTCGACTGGAAAGCCAAACATTTCTTTCGGTTGGTTACAAAATAAAGAATGAGCCTTTGCCAACTCTGTGGGAGAAGCAAACTCCAGGAGTTTGCCTTTGCTAATTTGTCCAAGTCGTGCAATCGTGCTGTGGTTTCACTAAATGCAGACACTGCTCCTCTCCAGGCCCAGAAACGTCTCGCGTCTACGGCTTCTCCGCAACCCCCCCCCACCCCTCCCCCCGGTGGAAGTCACGGCTCGCCCCTGCGGTTACCACCTGTTCTGGCAGAGCCCGCGGAGCGCGCACCTACGCCCCGGGCCCCTTCCCTCCCCGGCTCACCCTTTCCTGCTGGGCACCCTACGTTCCCTCGCCCAGGCCGGGCTTGCAACTTTCCTCGCAGCCTGGCGCTCGCCCCACTTGGCTGGCCCTCAAGAGAAGCCGCTTCTCTCGGCGCTCCGGCTCCCGAGCTTTCCGCCTAGGGGCCAAGCGCGCTCACCCCCAGCCCCGGGCTGGGTGGGAGGGGAGGCAGGCGCACGCGCGCCCCCCGCCCCTTGCGCCCCTCCCGGCTGGCGGCGCAGCTCCCCCTGCAGCACCTCCCCTCGAGGGGAGGGAGCCAGAGGGGGCTCCCGGCTGCGCGCCGCGCCGCTCTCTTCCGACAGCAGCTGCAGTCGCAGCGGCGCCCGCACTCCTCCCGGAGCCACGGAGACGAGCGCGCCTCTCCTCTGCGCCCAGCACCCCCAACCTGTTCCTGGCGCTCATCGGCGCTGCCGCCCGCCATTCGCCACCCGACATGGATTTCCTCCTGGCGCTGGTGCTCGGCTCCTCGCTCTGCCTGCAGGCGGCCGCCGAGTTCGACGTGAGGTGAGTTGGGCCACGGGGCTCCCTCTTTTTCTAGCGCTAATTTCGCGCTTGCGGTGCTGGGGTCCCCTCTCCCCCCCGGGTTGCGCGGCCAGGGAGGCGTCTCCCAGGCCAGAAGTTGGGCCACCGCACGGCGTCAGCGGGAGGAGAGCCGTCGAACCGCTCTCATGACCAGTGGCCGCCTGAGGCTGGGAAAGGCGCCCCCTGCGAGTCCCGGAGCCCAGCCCCGGCTCCCGGCTCGGGAATTAGGGCTAGGGGAGGAGGAGGAAGGCTTCTGGAGCCCGGCACCTCGGCTGGGAGGGCGCGGGCTGGCCTCCTAAGCCTAGGTGATGCGCGGGACACCCTTGGCCAGGAAGCTCTCGGGTGTGATTTAGAGGGCTCTTTGAGCGGGGAAACTTCCAGGTGGCCGGGCCAAAGCCCGGCTCGACGCTGTCAGGGCCGCTCACACAAAGGGTGGGGGCGAAGGAGCGATTGGGCTTCGCACTTGGTTTTCTTGAGGGAGGTGGACTCAAAATAAGGACTGAGAAGGGGGAGCGCTACGTGCGTGTTTGTGTATGATACGCACGCACACACAGCTCCCGAGACCTCGGGCGAGCCTGGCTGCAGCGTGCTCTGGCAGGTTGCAACAACCCCGGGCTCCGTCGCCGCTGTCACTCAGCCGCTCCTCTGGCGGCGGCGCGCGGCGCTCTCTGCCCCGCCGCGGATCCGCTCGGGCGAGTGAGTGTGTTTGTGTGTGTCTGCTGGTCAGGAGGGCGTGCTCGGTTGCCCCACCTCCGCGCAATTAGAGACCAGACCCGCCCCGAGCGCCGATCCCTGCTGCTCGCGCAGAAACCTGGCTGGAGCAGCGGGGAGAGATTTTAACCCGGGTCACACCGCCATCCATCCAGTCTTCCTCTTTCAGAGACCGCCCCCCACCCCCGCCCTGACCCCGCCAAGTATCCCTCTGCGCAGCCCTAAAGACAGCCGCACCTGTGTTACTTGTAATCTTGGAACGAATCAATTCCACGATTGATTGGCTTGCTTGCACCTGGAGGGGAACAGGAACGGAGGGCAACCAGTGGAGAGCTGAGGAGGAAAAGCGCAATCACTTGTTTACCACCTGGTCGGAGGAAATAGAGAGTTCGGGGTTATTTTGTACTTTGGGCTTGCGGGCATAAGGGGAGATAAAAGAAACGGGAATTGGAAAGATTAGGAGTGTTTTAAGAAAATGTGGGTAGCGGCCAGAGGCTATTTTATTTTATTTAAAGCGATTCTTTGCTCACATTCGGGTATGTTGTGCATTGCACACACATTTGCAATAGGAAATACAGAAATCACATGATTATGCATAAGATTTTAAGGTAGCTTTAATTTTAAAACAGCCAATTAAAATATTGATCCTCTGGGGGTAAAAAATCAGGTGTGAATCTAAACAGAAACGATTTACCAAATAAGGTGTGAAAGTGGAATCTGGTGGATAAATTGGTATACTGAAATTGAATACTTTTAGTCCTTATTTACATGAGTGAGGAAGATAACATGAATTGTTGATGCAGAGAAGTTTCAAACCAGGAGGACACTTGAGATGTTAGCTACACTTTAAACTTCTCTTGGTTTTATTTATACTTTTTTATTTTCTCTGGGAACATTTTCTGCCAAAGAGTCATATCTTGGAAAGAGGTCTGTTTCATTTGATTTTTGAGGAAGGTCCTGTCTTTGTGCCCCTTTCCAAGGCAGAAATAAAAGGCAGATTTTTTTCTTTCTGCTTTGACGTGTCGTATTATTTAATACTTTTCAGTTTATGATAAATCAGTCAAAACTGGTTTTCCCCCAAGTAACAGGTGTGGGTTTTTGAGGAATCTGTTTTATTTCAAGCTCCAGAAACCACCCTGTGAGTGTCAGCCTTGAGAATTCTTGGTTTTAGCTGATGCTGTTTCCATTTAGGAAAGGATCTTCCCCTCCCTTTGCCTCTACTCCTGTGTGTAGTGTGTAGAGTGGTGTGTGTGTTGTAACTCTCTGAAATTTGGAATTAGATCACAGCAGAACTGTTTTCCTGAATGTGTTTTATCCTTAAATTTCTGCAGGCATGAAGGAGTTCATTGAAAATTGTTGGGCGTGATTTAAATTAAAAAAATAAGAATAACAGGAAAATATTTCTAATTTCAATAGTGTCTTTATTTATTTTGAATCTTTTTGTTTGGTAGGTGGCCCAGGCAAATAGTGTCGTCAATTGGCCTGTGTCGTTATGGTGGGAGAATTGACTGCTGCTGGGGCTGGGCCCGCCGGTCCTGGGGACAGTGTCAGCGTGAGTATCATCCCCGAGGACTTCAGCTCCCTGGGAGGTGCGGCTTTCCACCATCATACATGGCTTCGCTCTGCACATCAGTGGGCTCATTACTGAGCAAGTCTTGGTGGTGTGGTTCCCACTGGGGAGTTTTCAGTTCCTGACTCCTTACCCTGCCCCTTTTCAACCTGAGCCAGCAGTCAGTAAGGTGCCCGCTTTGTTATTCAGAGAGCCACCTACCATGCTTATTGTGGCATCTATCCCCAAAATCTCCAGCTCCTGTTTTCTCATCAGGCTTTTTCTTTTCTGTGCTCCAGACTTGGAGATGGGGGTAAGATAATGAGTCTAGACTGTATTTACACTAAACAGACTCCGAACCTTCTAGCACTAATAAAATCCTTACCGTACCTGTTGTGGAAAGTGGCCTATTTGTAAACCTTTTTTTTTTTTTTGAAGTGAGATTGTATTGACTGTGTTCTAAATGGACCACCCACCATAATCAAATAACATCTCTGAAAAAAGTTCTAGAAGTGGGCGCCTGGGTGGCTCAGTTGGTTAAGCAACTGCCTTCGGCTCAGGTCATGATCCTGGAGTCCCGGGATCGAGTCCCACATTGGGCTCCCTGCTCAGCAGGGAGTCTGCTTCTCCCTCTGACCCTCTTCCCTCTCGTGCTCTCTATCTCTCATTCTCTCTCTCAAATAAATACATAAAATCTTTAAAAAAAAAGTTCTAGAAGTAAAAATCATCATGTAATAAGTGCCAAATCAGAACACTGATTTTTACCTTTTCCATGGATTTTTTAATGGTAGAAATCAGAGCCACATCATGGAAGTTTGAGAAATTTGTTCCCCGCAACTTTATCTGGATCTCAAAACTGTATTCCACCTCCCCTACGAGAGAATCCACAACGATCGAGTGAATTCCTGGGGCATTGTGCTAGGTTGGTGTGTCTTGTGAGATGTTGGGAACGAAGTTGGGTTCCTTATATCCCGGTGTTTTATTGCTCATGAGAAAGGAGCTTAGAGGAATAGAGAAGTGAAGTGAAGAAGGCTGGAGCTGGACAGGGTGGAGCCTGCCTTAGAGACGTGTTGGTGGTGGGAGCAATTGGGTAGATTTAAGTTCCGGAAAGCTAGGAATTCCCACAGCTGTTTTCATCTTTAAGAATTGTGCATGATATCTGCCTTTATGCAGAGGAGTGAGAGTAATGGTCACGGGTTAACATCCCTGGTTGGATATGGAAAGGGAAAAGGGATTAAGGTTTGTCTATTACCTGTAAGCCACTGGGCCAGACTTTTTGCACGGTTAGGCCATTGCCTCTTTTTATAAGGGGAAATGATGCTAACTCCAGTTTCCAGTAAACAAAAGAACTAGGCAAAGCTGCCGTGCCCTACTGGGTAATTGTTTTTAAGGGAAGATGGTCCAAAAGAAGAATGGTACCTGGTAGAGTCGTCTTGGCGGTGTCAGCAGTATTTGCATAGCTGGAGGCCACAGGGCTGGAGTTTGAAGAGCAATCCGGCTTTGATAATCAAAGGGTGGCCCAACACACACACTGTTCCCAAATTTAAAAAAAAAAAAAAATGAGTAGTTTCTTTGCAGGAATGGAGGTAATTTCCTCCTTTGCTGTCTTAATTGAAAGGGCACTCCCAAAATGAAGGTTGAAGTGCTTTGGGGTGTGCACAGTACCCCCCAGCCCTACCTAGGACAAGGCTGCTCTGGCAGAAGGCCCTGAGCACAGTGGGGCACACCTTCTCTGGTGGCAGAATGCCAGAGTAGTCGGCAGAGGCAGGGGTGTCGGGGTGTCCGGGTACATATGTGCTCTGCCAGATGCACTATAAGAAAATTCCTCTGTCTCTGAGAGGTTCATCAACTGTGGAATTCCCCAGAAAGAACCTCTCAGAGCTGTTCTTTTTACACGTAATTAAATTTTCTCGGGTATAGACCAGCTGGGTGAGTCTGAATTTGAACAAGCGTAAAGAAAGACCTTTCCAAGTTACAGTGGCCTTACTGAATTTAAACATCCAAGTAAGTTCCTAGCAGACCACCTTTCCCAGCAGAGATGAGACACCGTTTTATTATCTTCTATACATCATTTTGCTTCTAACAGAACATAAAGTGGTGAAGCACAGTATTTGATAGTATTTATCTTTTCTTTCTTTGTACTCCTTGAGATTCTGAGGAAGCTATAACAATGGTAAGTCAGTTATTGAAATGGTAATGCTATAAAAACGTATAAGATGATCTTGCCCAAATCACAGTTCATCTCAGCTTGGATTTGGTGAAAGTCTGAGAGGCAACCTAATGGAGGAGAACATGGACTTGAGCTAGACTGCCTGGGTTTAAATTTCTGTTCCACCCCTTATTAGCTGTGTGACCTTGAGCAAATCATTCAACTTCTCTGTGTTTTATTTTCCTTACCTCTGAAATAGATACAAAATAGTGTAATACCTTGTAGGACCGTAAATGAGGTGTAAATGAGTTATTCGTAAAGCACTTAATGCAGTTCCTGGCACAGAGTAAATGCTATGTATGTGTTTGATGAAAGTAAAGAAATATAAAGGAATACTGCTTTTGAAAGAGTGTTATGGGATGGGACATACCCATGCTATCAGATTCTTTGTTTTCTAGGCATGCTAAATGTATTTTTGCATTTTACTGCCAAAATAAAAACGATGATTCTAAGGCTCTCCATGTTACAATAAAATAAAATGCCTTTAAATTAAAAAAAAAAAGCCAGGTGGATCTTTACCAATAATATTGTAGATGGCAGAGTTGTAAAAACGAGTTCAAAGATGGATGTCTCCTTGTGTGTGTGTGATTTCAGAATCTCAGATGGTACAAACGTCTCTTGTCAGCCTAGAGCTCCCCTGTCTTTGTTTTGCTGTAAACAGGTAGAGGAATGTAGGGGCCAGAGGTCAGCTCAAAGTAGGAAGAACAGCACCAAATAAGCTTGCTGGGGACAAACGGAAAGTTTCTGATTAGTTTTTAAAGGAAGCTTTTATGAAATTGAAACTTTTGTCACTACATTTATTCAAGGGAAAATGCCTTGCTGTTTAACTCTTATACCTGGTAATGGACTACCTATAAAAATTCCAAAGAGCTTCTGGGAAATTTAATGTGAAAATTGTTTTTGTCTTTCTGACCCTTAGATCATTTCAGAGTCCTTACCCGTGAGGAGCATTCTCCTTTCCTTAGTAAAGTTCTGGTTCTTGTTTTTCTGAATGATTCACTTAGGAATTTTCCTTCAAATTAGCACAGCAAAGCAAAAGGAAGCTATTTCCACCTAGACACAGAACCTCCCAATTTATCCCTTAGAAGATGTGTAAATGGGGGAGACCATACCCTCACTATATGTATATATATTTTTATCATATCTCATGCCCTAGTGCAGTGACCCTTTGGTGTTTAATCCATTTGGTCGAGCATATGTAAGACATTTTGACCCTATTCCTGTGAGACGAAGAGATGTGTTGACATAGAACATGCTGTGTTTCATGTTCACTTGCTACTCCCCTTTCCATGGCCTTGTTTGGAGAAGCCAGTTGACTTTGCAGGGAGCTCGTATTGCTCAGCCTCCGCCCCTGGTCACAGTGTCTAGCCACAAAGCTGCATTCAGCCAGACTTCTCATCCTTCCCTCAGGGACTGAGGAAGGAAGGATGCTACCCAGACAAGCATAGGAGCTGTCTTCTGCTTCCTGCCTGTGCCACCTGACATTCTAGCCTAACATTCCTGCCTGGCTGCAGAAAGCAAGCCCTAGTCCAGAAGCAGGCAGGTTGTGTTTTCATAGTTCTTTTAGAGGTCATACCCTGCCTTCTTTCTATCCTTTGATTCTTTGTTTTATATTCTTTTTTTAAAGCTTTTATTTAGATTCTGATTAGGTAACATACAGTGTAATATTAGTTTCAGATGTGCAATATAGTGATTCAACACTTACATACAACACCCGGTGCTCATCACAAGTGTCCTCCTTAATCCCCATCACCTATTTTACCCATCCCCCCACCCACCTCCATTCTTGACCCATAAACAGGTCTCTACACATTGAGAATTTAAAACTTGATTTTCTAATTGTCTTGGGCTTTATGGACTATTGATGTGGCTCTTTGTGGTAAAATGAGAATCACAACACACTGATAGTTACATATTTACAGCACACAGCACCTTAATTACTCGGAGTGTTACAAAATACTTGTTTCTTATTCTGTAATTATTCTATTCCTTCACTTTCCCACATATTAATGGTACACTTCACTTTAATGATTTTAACAATTTCTCCTACCAAGTGGAGATCTGTGTAAAAAAGGTTTCTCAGGGTTTGTGTATTTTATTAAAAAAAAAAAAACGCATATGCTGTGGAACCAACTCTTAACTAACAAGCAGTTTGGGACACATGAGTGTCACTAACTTTTATACCTGGTTAGCTATTTAAAGAGCTTCCTTAATGTAGAAAGAGTATAGAGGATCTAAATATTATATTTCTATATGGTGGTTTTTCTGTTTACAGCTTTGGCTGTGTATGTGGCTATGACAGTAGTGTTTCTGTTGAAGGCACTTTTTAGAGGTGTGAAGATTAAAATTCAAAATACGACAAGTTCCAGGTTTCAACAAAGCTATTTAGTTTCTGAGTTCTTTGACTGTCACTAAGCAATTTGTGGTTTCTGAAGGAAATTATGTGAATTAGGGTGATTTTTGTATCATTTTTCCTTAAAACCAGGCAAAATGCAGATGTTCTGATATATTTTTCTGAAAAATTTGGAAAGATGTAAAACTTATACCTAGAGTTTGACTTTGCTTTATTAGTTCTAAACCTCATTTCCTCCTACCCCCTCCGAAAGCTACAACTGTACAATTGTCAGGGAAAGTGAAACTTTTGAATTCTTATCAATGTTAAATAAATGTATAGGTTAGTGCAACAGGGGGATGGAGAAACAATAATTTATTCTTAAACTTTTGGAGTTGTTAAATAATTTTGCTGGATAATATATATTACTGGCTTAGGATTGTGGACTGTTGAAAGACTGAA